TGTCATCAAAGCGATAAGAGCGCAAGTGGCTCCATACCCCAACACTGGAAGCACACATCAGGCAGGCGGCTACAAAGTCTAAAGTCTGTACCATTTGAGGACGATTCTCAGTGGCTACTTTACCTAGCAGCAGTGGGATAATATATTCGTCCTCTGCCCTCTGGGAAGGGGGTGGTTGGGGGGGGGGGGGGTGTGTGTGTGTGTGTGTCTGTGTGTGGTTGGCGGGTGCTCTGGTGTGGTTTGCTCCTTTTTTTCCGATCAAACTACTATCGTCTTTATCTCCCCTCATTCTTTTGTATGTTTGTTACTCTCTTGTAACACCTTTAATCTTCGGCACTTATATGACCTTATTGCGTTTCAAGTGCCATAAAACTCTTACTAAAGCTAAAACCTATACCATTGCATCATGTTTACGCAACAACAATAGGCGAAGTAACGTCCATCTCCGATTGGACTTAGATCTAGGTAAAAAATAATGGAAAGACAGGACCCACTCCCGTTTCCCGAGCCTAAACGACGAAAGTTTAAGAACTGCCTGTTAGCGTGGATTCGAACCATGGTCACTCCACATCGTAGTCCGGCATAATGTGGGTGGGTTTTGGGGGGAGGGGGGGGCTGTGTTACGACGCTCGCAACTGTATACGGTCATATGAGCGCACTGGACATATTAAACGTTATCAGTTTTATAGGAAATAATTTTGAATTTTGCCCGGGTGGCGGCTGAAGACTACGCGTATCGATTTGGACCACCAAGGGATCTTTAACATGGGCAACTTGCAAGACGAACCCAAGAGATTTTTCGGCTATATCTTAGATGGCTAGGTGTTAGATCTAACCTACCATAAGATCAGGGGTGTAGCTGAAAGACATCGGTAAGAAGGAGCCAAGTAGTAGCAGTGGAAAGGCTGCAGAAAGAGTCAGGAGCCTAGAGGAGGTAGTAAAGGAGGTGAAGGGATTGGGGCAGAAATTGGAGACGAAAGCAGGCGACATAGCATTGTGCAGGAAAGGATGTGTAAGGAGAACATTTTAAAGAAGAAAATGTTCCGTCGCTATCCAATTTCGAACACGGGACATATTGAATGGCATTCGAACATCTTAACCTGAGTGTGTGAGTGTGTGTGTGTGTGTGTGTGTGTGTGTGTGTGTGTGTCT